AAACCTTGTACTAAAAATCTGGGTGAGGTTGCAACTTATCATGGCATAGAAGTCTTGGTCTAGTAATGCATAGAATAGAATTACGATAAATTATTCAATGCAGTAAGTTAGCTTGATCCATGCTATGAACGTGGTTAAGTACTAAAAATGTCATTTTCCTAAGCCACCTATCATCGCCGACCCCAAAAAAGAGCGAGTCATGAAAAAATAGCAAAATCAGTTACAGCGATGTTTCACTATTGTTTCCATTGAAAAAATAATCAAAAATATGACAAGTAATGCTGAAATTTTAAAATCCAGCCTGAAAAAGATATGTCATGGCGACTTGTCTTAATAATATTGCACTTTGTCTGTTTAACTCCTGCGTGGAGAATGACATGACTAAATATCAAAATCAATCTCATATAAGTATAAGATGTTGGTCGATTTAATCTATCATTATATAAAAAGAATAACTTTTTTATAAATTTAGAAAATTTTTCCCTCCAAAATCATTAAATATATCCTAAATATAGTAATTGTTGGACAATTGTGAATAAGTACAAAAAACGGCTCTTTAATTGTATTGTTGCCTTAATTCTAGCTTGCAACAATAAATCCGATTGGCTTTTGGTTTAAACTTTCCCACAAAAATCTCATAGCATAAATCTATAAAGATTTAAAAATCCTATTGCATACGATCTCACGAGTTTAAAAAATCTCATCTCTTATCTATAAAGATTTAAAAAATAAAAAATAAAAAATTAAAACCAATTCATAATTACTACTAGAAATCCATTATCTATTTTCATTGGTCTAATTTCTAACATATTATAAGCTAACAATACATCAAATTTTTGGCTTTTGGTTTAAACTTTCCTACAAAAATCTCATAGCATAAATCTATAAAGATTTAAAAATCCTATGGCATATGATCTCACGAATTTAAAAAATCTCATCTCTTATCTATAAAGATTTTGAAAAAAATAAAATAAAATTAAAAACCAATTCATAATTACTACTAGAAATCCATTATCTATTTTCATTGGTCTAATTACTAACATATTATAAGCTAACAATACATCAAATTTTTTAGATGAAAGTAACGCCATAAATTCATATTATCTGACATAATGTCTTTATTAAATTATGCTCATAATATTTTAGATACTTTAAACGAATTGTTTAGACATTTTTTTTACATATTCGTCTATATATACATATACACATACATAATTGATGTTAAATTTAAATATTTGTAGACATGATTTCCTTACAAAATAGTCTAGAATTTTTTTTTTTTACGCAATGTTAAATTCAAATGTTTTTAGATATGTTCCTTCTAAAATTGTTTAGAAAAGTTGCAGGTGACTCCACATCTTTCAAAAATAATATAGAAAATTTTGATTACTCTTACAAATACTAATATAATATTTTAGGTGTTTTTAATATCAAACATACAAATTTTATATTCTGTTATACAAAATAATGTAAATTTTATATTCTCTTATACAAAATAATTTTACATTGCTTGATCCCGAATCTTTAACTTATAATTATTAAGTATTGTTTATCCTCCTCTTTAATTTATAATTATTTTTTTTCTTCCTCTTTTTAAATAAGATCAATAGTAGTTTCCATTTCCGCCATTGAGTGACTCAAACTCGAGGTCTATTTATAATATTTTTAATTTAATATTGTTCTCGTGCATCGCACGGGGTACACACTAGTTAGGAAGGTTAGGATTATGGGAATACCAAAAATTAATTCTATTTATTGTTTGTTTAATATGTTTTTAGATTTTCCAAATTCGGATGCATAACTCTTTTTCAATAATTTATGGTATTTTTTTTATTCAAGAACAAATCATCTTTTATTCAATAACAAAACATACAAATATTTAGAAGTTAGCGTTTTTATATTCAACACTTCTTAAATAATTATCAACTTTATTTTAATGTAATTTTCGTGTTTAAACTACAAAAAATAATTAAAAACTTGGTCGCAGAATTCTGATATCCGATATTGTTAAAAAACTATAAAAGAAACAAAAGAAAAATACTGCGATATAAAAAAATAAAACGCAAAATGAATAGTTAATAATGCATGTAACCGAAAAAAAAAAAGAGAAAACAAAAG